CTGATTTATAAATGACTCATATAAATTGTTGTTTATTATCATGCACAAAGCTACACAAAGGGCTATTTGTGCTCTGCCCACCACGGGTATCGAAACCCGGTTTCTAGCAGTATAAGTCCGCAGACATACCGCTGTGCCACTGGGGGGCAACTCATATAAAATTGATAAAACTATATTTCACCAATTGAATCTAGTTCAAAATATAACAGTCGTTCTTCATTCAATTTAATAATATATTAGTTCCTCAACCACTACTGTGCCTGTTGTATCCCGATCTAATGAGACATGGTAGTGTGCCAAAAGCCTTTTCAACACTGTATATAGCAAATGTAGTTGACAAATATTTATGCCATATTGTTCTTTACTTTCAATTATAAGATGCTAGAATTAATTGGAGAAATCTAACAGCAACACCTATGCCACCTTTCAATACATTTGTTATTAACATTATAAAATGCAAAAATATACAATATTAGTATGTAGGGACAAACCTTATTGTGCTTTCTGAAAGATATATGTAAGCGAACACCGAAACATACAAAACTACAATAATAAATATTTTTCAACCATTTAAAAAAAAAACACTTCATTCCAATGATTATGGGTTCGTATAATATTACAATGCCAACAGAAACATATTCAAAAGTGAATTCAATACAATTTTTACTGCCACTCGGGCTGCTAAGTTCGATGGCTTTTAACAGTACAAATCGGGATTCTATGTCCACGGTGAGCACAGCCTAGATAGCCCAAGACAGCTTTACGCTTACAAACAAATATTTGTTCTATTAAGAGATTTTGTATAATATTTTATATTGTACTTATATAATGCGGTTATTGTTTTCGGAACATATTTAATGTAATAGTCTATGACAAAACTTACTTCGAACAAGACAATATAACTTCAGTTAATTTTTCTTCTCAAGATTCTAAAGGTGGTGAGACTCATTCAAGATCTATATCGATGTCCCATTGGATCAAGTTCACTGTACTAGTCGCCATGGCGACCATCTTCAATTGTTTTCATGGAACGGATGCTTATCCTAGAGGTTTCCAACATCTCGCTTTGGTTAAAAGACCGGAAGATAGAACGTCTTTTCTAAACTACGACCATGGTTTCGAGGTAGCAGGCCAACCATCTGGAACCTTTGAGCATGAAATACCAAATGAGTGGACAATGAGACAAGGACCAATCGAAGACACCGTCAACTACCTATCTTTCCTTGACAGACTGGTCAAGAAAACAGCAGAACGACAGGATTCTGACAGGGAACCAAAACGAGACGGGAATCGCAACTTTCAAACTCAAGGATGGCGGCGATAAAATCCTAAAATTCATTAGTAGATGACATTTCAAACAGATTGAAGCTTTTAATCTGGAACGTAAAGTCTAAAAATAAATTCATCTCCTAATTAACAAATCATAGTGTAATACATCTAATTTCGTAATCGTAACAGAAAATGTATTGTCTAAGAAAGACTGGTGAATAAAAATGTAGTGTTTGAACGATTCATTGAAATTTATTGATTGGTAAATAAAAAATGCGGTAGTTGAGCAGTTCATTTAAATTTATTAAAATAACTCTTAAACATATGGCCAGGTGGTTATGGAACTCGACCCGCAATCTTTGGGTCGCGGGTTCGAATCCCCGTCCCACCAAACATGCTAATGTAACAGTCAATCCATTGGTAAAAGAGTAGTGGCGGTGGGTGGTGATGACCTTCCCTCTAGTCTTACATTGCAAAATTAGGGACGGCTAGCGCAGATAGCCCTTTTCGCGAAACTCAAAAACAAACAAATTTAAATATATTAATTTAATAAGCAGTTTCCTCAAAAATATGTAGATAAAAACAATCGGTGACTTAATAAATTCAATATTCTCTGGAATAAGAAATAACCTGTAGTATAAGTATAGTATAAATAACCTGTAATATAAGTATAGTATAAATGCGAAGTTAAATCGTCTAATAAAACTTTTCTTGCTAATGGTGTGCTGTAAAGCACAGATATCCAAGAATTAGAGAAGGCATATATTTGTAATCTGAAAAATTAACTATTAATTTCATTAAAGTCGTGTAGAACCAAGGTATTAATTAATGATTAGAATTAATTAAATTATGACGTATGACATTATGAATGTTAACAGATTATCACTTTTCGTAGCACATTGATTAAACTGCTAGAGATATGGACATGTCGCAACAGCCATGTACCTCTTTATCGAGATGTGTAGGCGTATCGCAACAGTAATGCAGGTCCCTATCGAGGTGTGTAGCTTGTGGACATGTCGCAACAGTAATGCAGGTCTCTATAGAGGTGTGTAGTTTGTGGACATGTTGTAACAGCCAGGTAGGCCTCTATCGAGATGTATAGTTTGTGGGCATGTCCATTAAACTCAAGAGTGTCCAAACAGCCACGATGTTGTAATTATAAGTTAAAACTTTACAACTCAAACATAGTACTGTGTATAAGAAACAACTGACTTCTTAAGAACATCGACTGTAAAACTTTGGTGGTATAGTAATCTTATTCAGCATTTAATTCAGCTTCGAGAATTTCTTAATTCTATCTATTTCAGCATGCAGCGTTGTATAACTGTTTTTAATCCTTCAAACTCTCCTAAATTGAAGGAAGAAAAGCGTCAGCATGAATATATAACCCAGAAAGTTTGGGTATATGAAAACAGTGATGCTAATTATGCACTAAAGTATCTATAAAAGGTAATCTCGATTAGTATTCGTGCTCAACTAACTTAGTTTTTCTAATCATTGTTTTCATTGATAACGTAAAAGTATGTTTCACATAACCAGGGAGAGATTTTATCCCATATTGATTCCTCACCTTAGTTCATAAATGGGTCGGGCTTGACCAAATGGTTGGTGTTTCGGACTGCAGATCAAAGGGTGCTGCGTTGCAGACGTGCATGATATTACTGAACAAGTTCCACACTTTTAGCTGTGCGAGCATTATAAAAGTGACAGTCAATCCCGTTATTCTGTTTAAATAACTGAACAAGCTGCTGGGTAATGGCCTTTCCTCTAGTCATTAACTCAAAATTGGGAACGGCTACATAAATATTTTAAAACTCTGATCTGGCCGTTTAATACACGTGCGCATAAGGTACCATTTAGGTGGAAAATATTAATTCCAATCTATATATATAAAACCGCGAATGTCTCTCTCTCTCTCTGTGGGCCAGTTCCTTATGGACGGCAAAATCTTTAAAGGTACAAACTCCAAACTCGGGCTACAGATAAAACTTTGTGCGGGAAGTAACAAGGACTATGTGGTCGCGGCCTCACAGACTTACTGAGGCCGTAAATTGAGGCCAAAATGACCAATATAGCAATGACGACCAATTGGTCTCAAATTGAAAAAGCCTGACATTTTTTGGCAATGTGTGATCAAGAAGCCTATTATTTACGTTTCTTCTCCGTGTGAGGACTTCTCATAATCATTCTATTCATGATCAATTATATGTTAATACGATTTATAAACATCGTGGAGCCTTCATTTGCTTTTTTGCTCACTCCCTCTTTCCTTTCTCTCTGCTCTTTCCCCTCCTTTCTCATTTTTCGACACATACATTCCTACTCTCTAACTCCCCTTAACTGAAAAAGGTTGGTGCTTTCTCTCGAACATGTGCGCATACCCCCTCAACTAAATAGGCTTGCTTCAGCCAGATCTTTTGCTATACGATGACTTAAAAACGTTTGGTATCGGCAAATTTTCATTTACGTTGTTTTGCAACGTGAAGAGAATAAATCAATTCTTCATTAAATGGAACAATAATAAAGTCAGAATACGCTGCAAACGACACTTGACCACACAGCAGAAATCAGGACACCAAAAGGCAGGGAATTTGTTTTGGAAACTTGAAATGTCATACAAAGCGCATGCCAGAAGCAGGAGCAATGTACCGGTTTTGCTTTGAATAAAATAGCTTTAGAAATTTTCATTTTTTTCACACATTGTTACTTTTTTTTAAGTTTAATTAAAATATTTAGTTAGGTAAAGAAATCAGTTTGATTTTTTACCAAAAAAATCACGATAAATATGGTTGGTTTAATCAAAACAACTTAGAATATTTAAAGCCATTTTCATCCGAGCCAAGCAACGCCAGGCTCTGCTAGTGTACAATAAGTGAAACCATTAAAC